AAACTGAAGCCAGGCTACTAAAGATAACGCATGTTTATGATAGGAAACTGAAGCCAGGCTACTAAAGATAACGCATGTTTATGATAGGAAACTGAAGCCAGGCTACTAAAGATAACGCATGTTTATGATAGGAAACTGAAGCCAGACTACTAAGTATAACGCATGTTTATGATAAGAAACTGGAGCCAGACTACTAAGTATAACGCATGTTTATGATAGGAAACTGAAGCCAGGCTACTAAAGATAACGCATGTTTATGATAGGAAACTGAAGCCAGGCTACTAAAGATAACGCATGTTTATGATAGGAAACTGAAGCCAGGCTACTAAAGATAACGCATGTTTATGATAGGAAACTGAAGCCAGACTACTAAGTATAACGCATGTTTATGATAGGAAACTGAAGCCAGACTACTAAGTATAACGCATGTTTATGATAAGAAATTCATGGTGATATTACAGAATCTTATTAACTAAAAAAAACAGGCTAAGCAGTTAGTCATGGATTGTCGTACACGATTATATATTTCTTTATAAAGGTGAAATAAAGACGACCGCCGGTATTCAAACTCACATTCATGTTAAATAAAGTTAGGTTTAAGCGAACTAAAATAAACAATAGCGGAAAAACTACTTTGTTTAAAGAGTATTGTAATGAAGACTATAACCTCTTAAGCCTAAATCACTTATTCTGATAGCTTATTTTAAACACAGACATACAACATCAAACACCTGAAACTACGAAACTCTTATTTTCCCAGAGTTCATAGCAGAACATAAAGTAGGCAAAGCTTTAGTAAAAGTGATAAATGTTCCAACTAAATAAGTACTTACCCCACGATTATCCGCCATATGCTCCGCGTATAAATCTTTTATCAACATATCCAGGGTCCGTTCCCTTTTTTGTGAAAAGGTCGGTGTGTTGAACGCCGCTTTTTCACCATTTATCACTAAGATATAGAAGTAACACATGATCTGTATCTGTTTCTTAAAAGCCTTAAAAAACGCAAACATGACAGTAAAAAAAATAATTTGGGCTAAAAGAAGCATTTCAAATACGTTAGCGAAGAACAACAAATAACTAAATAAAATAAACTTATTAAAAGGTTTGTTTGTTTGTTTTTGAATTTCGCGCAAAGCTAAACGAGGGCTATCCGCGCTAGTCGTCCCTAAATTAGCAGTGTAAGACTAGAGGGAAGGCAGCTAGTCATCACCACCCACCGCCAACTCTTGGGCAACGAATAGTGGGATTGACCGTCACATTATAACGCCCCCACGGCTGAAAGGGCGAGCATGTTTGGTGTGACGGGGATTCGAACCCGCAACTCTCGGATTGCGAGTCGAGCGCCCTAACCAACTGGCCACTTATTAAAAGGAAGCTGTAAAAAAAAATTCAATCCGTAGAAAATGAGAAAGGAAACTAAGCGAATTATTAAACTTGACTAACAAGTGCTTTTTAAAAATATATACAGATTTTTACATACATGAACATGAAAGAAATATACACGAACATGAAAGAAATATTGGTAGAAATTTTGTTGTTTCTTAACGCAAAGCTTCACAATAGGCTATCTGTCCATCGCGGGGAATCGAACCCTGGATTTTAGTGTTGTAACTCCATAAACTTTCCCCTGACCCGCCGGTCATTCATTAGTGTACCCGAATATTTGAACATTGGATTGAAATGGATCATTTGGTGTTAGACCGTATACAAAAGAGCAGTTTAGTTAAATACTTTTATTCAAATTTGCAAAGCGAATCTTTTTAAAGCCTTACAACGCTAGAAACCGGGTTTCGATACCCGTGGTGGGCAGAGCACAGATACCCCTTGTGTAGTTTTGTGCATAATTAAAAACAAACAAACCAAACAATCTTTTAAAAGCCAAACCAGTGTTGTTGTTTTTCAACTGAAACTTTAGCAGCATCGGTTGTATGG